GAAGCATCTTTTGGTGATGGAGAGAGAGAGAGAGAGAGAAAGGGAGCTAGAGAGAGAAAGAGAAATAGAGCGAGAGAGAGATTGAAATGGGAGGGGTGAAGAGAGAGATACTGAGAGAGAGCAAGTCAGATCTTTTCCCTCGAATTCTTGTTGGCTGAGCAGACTATTGTGCTTACGTGAAAATCTTTAGAGATGTCTAAATATCCCAGACTTAGTAATAGAACGATAAAAGAAATGAAAGAAATCAACCTTGGTTGAGGGCCTTCTGTGTGCCAGGCATGTGCCAGTAGCTTTATAGATATTTACTGGAGGTAAATATCTATTAAAAAAAGAGGGAAGGAAATTATCTATGGTTACTTAACTAGTTAATATTGGAACTGGCATCAGATCTACTAATCTTTCCTTGCACCAAGTTGTCCAGTAGTGGAAATGCTACTCATGAATTTTTTTTTCTTTATCTGTTTGTCTTAATATTTCCTTTTAACTGTTGGTGAACTGCAAAAATATGAACATAGATACATGAAAAAAAGCAAACAGTACAAATCAGATATTTGAAATTACCATACTTGAAATGACTTTGTAAGGTTTATCTTTCCCTTTCACAAAAAGAAACTTATTATGGATACTTTACTTGGACATGGGAAGGAGGAAGAAAAATTAAGAGGAAAAATTTTTCTACTTTAAATTATGAATTTTATTTTCAGTCAAAAGTAAAGGTAAAAATTCTGTTGAGTCCAACTTAATTCCATGATTATGTATTGAGGGGCATACCAATATCTAGACTGGGTACTGCAAAACCAAGATGGAAAGAAATAAAACATTCATAACCTTATGGCTTTAGAATCTAACAATAAAAAGTCACAATGGAGGTTGTGTCAGTAACATAATTAAGAAAGAAAGTACAATAAAAATAAAATTTTATTGGGCTGGCCCGGTGGTGCACTGGAGAGTGCGCCACTTGGGAGCGCGGCAGCGCTCCCGCCGAGGGTTCGGATCCCATGTGGAGACCGGTTCCCGCTCACTGGCTGAGCGTGGTGCAGGTGCAGCACCAAGGGTTGCGATCCTGTTGCTGGTCCCCGGTACAGGCGCGACACTGAGGGTTGCGATCCCGTTACCGGTCAGTAAAAAAGACAAAAAGGGAAAAAAAAAAATTTATTGAAAGCCATACGGAGCTGATTCTAACGGATTTCTCTCATTATTTCATGGGAGAAACATATTTGCATTTTTAAAATTAAAAATTTTTTTGCATAAGCACACAAACAGAGATTTTATTCTACTGCTAAGATTTCTTTGAGATGTAGAGGCTCTGACTTTCTGACATAATTAAATTGAGGAAAAATAAAATATTTTCCTAGCATGAGAAAATAGGGTTCTCACTTGATAAAACTGGCCTAAGCAGGTCAAATAGTTTGCCCAGGAGCAATGGGCAAGATGGGAGCAGGGCTGATTCCAAATCCTCCTCTCTGCTCCTGGTCCAAGCTTCGTTTTCCACCAGTATCCCAGTAAACCACATTGTAGTCTTTTTCCCCATGGTATAAAGGAGTGCATGGCATGAATGACGTACAATTAATTTTCATATATAAAGAAATAAAGGTAATTGTACAAGAGAGAAAACTTCAGGATTGATCTTTCTTTTCTCCTCTCTTTATATTTCTTCTTTCTCTTTCCTCTTCCTGAAAGGTAGTTATCTATTCTTCTTTAAATATCTTTGTAACACAGTAAAGAAAATGTCTAATTGCAATCATAAAATATAAATATAAAATAAATAAAATGAAATGATATTTATAATTTTCATTAGCCTGTATAATATGTAAATATATAATATAAACAAATAACTATAAAAACATAAATAACAACTGTGTATAATTCCCTTGAAGTTTGGCTAGTTACATGGAAAGACCTAAAGGGGGGAGCATGGAGAGTGACAGAGCAAGCCCCCCCATCACGTACGTGCACCCCCTTTAGGGAGTACGAAAGGGTTTTCTGGTAAATTTACTTGTTATCCTGCCATTTCCTTTGTCTCTAGGATTATTTAGCCTGTGACTGACTTTCAAATGTAAATTAGATTACCCTCTCATCACTGAGCTTCATTCGCTCTCTGGCCTCCAGTTTTTAGTGGCTGTGCTCTGCCTGGAGTTGACACAACACCCCGCTGGAGTGGAAATGCCCCGTGTTCAGCTGCATGGACCAGAGAAATCAATTTATATGTCAACAGACTAGCAGCGGTCCATCCTGGCAACATAGTAGACCACCAGGGGAGCCTTGCAATATATCTATGCCTTGACCTGGTAGATCAGGAATCAGGATCTTTTGGGGGTAGGGCCTCTGGGTTTCAGCCTTTAAAAACTGACTCACTCACTTGTTTTCATGATGGTTTCTAATATGACACTGGAGTTCAGAGGCACTGGTCGAGAAAATTCTCACTCCCGCATGAAGCCTTTAAAATTTACCATAGAATATGCAGTCAGAAAATTTGAAACAATGTTTGTCCTTTGATTTTCAAATGAGAGGATTTTTTTAAAGAATGCAATCATTTCCTTTTATTTTATTTTTTCTGCCTTTTTATTGTTTCCATTTGTTTCTCTGTTTTTTAACCCCAAATTGTCATAACTCAATATTTCACATGTTGCCGCTTCTTACACGTTTCATAAGTGTTCTGGAAAATATTTTTGTTTTGTACTTTGCTCTGTTCTTAGCCTAAAGTGTGTATTAAACTGAGTTTGTTGCAGCTATAGGAGGTGCTTTTATTTTGACTCGAAAGTGATTTAGTTAGTATGTTTCCTTTCTGGCAAATAGTTGGTGAATCGAACATAGAGCTTTTTTCTTCTGAGTAGCTGCTTGAGTGGTGATTATATAATAATAACTGCAAAAGGACTATTCAATCAAAAAATTTTATATTAAGTGAAGACAAGAAAACAGTCACAGCCAGTGTAGGATGTTTTGTCACTGGACAAAGACATCGTGTGTCTCTCTCCATGCCAAGCTATTTTATGACTGACTCAGAAATAGTTTTTACTTTATCCTAGGAAAATCATCATAACTAAATTGTCTGTTCTGAAATTGGTAGTGTATTTTTTTTTATGGTAGTCAGTGCTTAAGATATATCTTTGCAACAAGTTCAAGTGAGTTATTAATAAACACAAGTGTCCATTATAAAAGTTACCCAGTCCATCTCTCATGAGGCTGTTAAGCACGATATTTGCCTCTCACACATAATATTTTATATAAAATATATGTAATGTAAATATTATGTGTATCATTTTGTAAATATCTTGACGTTATAAGGATTGACATAAGGTTTGCTTTTCTAATGACATATCTTTCTTCAGAAATCTTTTCTCAGACATGCTGTATGTTTTAGGACTATTCTCCAGGCTTAACTCTGTCCCCTGACTGTTGCTTGAAGCTGGTTCTCTATTCACATACATTTTCTTATTTATCTTGTACTCGTATATTCACCCTATCTACCAGTTGTGATGTTTTGTCTTCTTTTCCTCAACTTAGTTGCCAAGGGATTATTCAAGTCTGTCTTGTAGCCTCACAGCACTTCAACAGCACAGCTCACAGTTCTGTGGTTGTTGAACTCTGTAAAGTAGAGTAAAATAGACTGTAAAGTCTATTTGGTTCCCAGAGATTTATTGCAGTTAAGCTGCTTTAAGTCTAATTATCAATGTTTAGAATTTTCTGCAAATTTAGATAGACAAACGTATGTGTTCTGTCCCCTTTAATGACTTTTAAATAATATTTAAATAAAGACAGATAGGCAGGCACATTTATGTTGAGAATGAAAATTATAGTTTAGGGGAGCTTGCTTCAGTTTATCTTTCGGTGAAGTTCATCTTACCATGAAGTTCAATGAACTTCCATTTTATGAATGATTTGGGATGTTTTGAGGCGAAGTGGAAATTGCTAATATGATTGATATTAAAAGATGGGATGTTATCACAAAGGAGAATATGCATTTCTGTCTTAATCTAGTTTACCTTGATTGTGTGTTTCTGACCTGCCTCTGTTTCCAGTGGACAATCAGGATGATACTATCAAACCAGTGGGATAGGAAAGGAGGTGTCTTCAGATGTAGCTGGTAGTGAGGCCCCAGGAGTGTTTGGCTGTGCTGGAGACCTGTCCAGCCTGCTTTGACAGTGTCCCCTGGGTGCATCACATTCCTCTGCCCTTGTCTTGTCAGCTCACTGTCTTTGTGTTTCTGACCCTTGCCTTTGAACTTGACTTTGATTTCTGTCTGTATCCTTTGCTTTTCTTCTGGATTTGCACTCTTTCTGCCCCCATCCCGTGGCCTGCCCTTTCTGTCTGAAAGTCCAAGTTTATTTTGGACATTCTGGAAGCCCTCTTGCTGTATCACATATTTAGGATGGTGCCTGCGATCTTGCTATCTTCCTGTCGAAATGTTTGTGGAGGTGCTTCATTTCTGGGCTGCAGAAAAACACCCTTTATAAAAAATGAACTGCCAAACAGACTTAGAGATAATGAAGTATCTAAGATATGTTGTTTGTCTTCAGTTACTTTTTTAGAAACACAATAAATTATTCTTATTTTCTGAGAGTTTTTCCTCTTTGTTTATAGCTATTCTCTACTAATTACACTTCTCATTTCTCTTGAGAACAATGAAATGAAAAAGTGACTTTGGATTTTATGTAACTAAATTTACAGTAAAGAAAAATTGTTTTATTTCTTGTGTTATCTTGTTACAATTCAGGGTTTACAAATATATTAAAATTCAGAAGTGGCTAAAAACTCTGGGCCTTTTATTAATCTGAGTAACTATTTTCTTTTTCTTTTGAGCATATGTTTAGGTATAGTGGGAAATTAACAGAGGACGCATGGAGAAATTTTTTCTTACCCTGGCCAGTGTGACTCTGTCTCTGTATACCTGGTAGCAACCCTTTGAAAGGTGATATTCTTTATTGGCTATAAAGAATGTGCAATTGGTCAAACATTCAAACTACTGCTTTTCTTTTCTTTTTTTTTTTTTTAAATCACAGAATTGACTCCTGAGGAACGAGCCCAAAAGATTGCCAAAGCCATGCGCAAACAATCTTCTGAAGTCAAAGAGAAGTGGGAAAGTCTAAATGCTGTCACTAGCAATTGGCAAAAGCAAGTGGACAAGGCGTTGGAGAAGCTCAGAGACCTGCAGGGAGCCATGGACGACCTGGATGCTGATATGAAGGAGGCAGAGGCCGTGCGGAATGGCTGGAAACCCGTGGGAGACCTACTCATCGACTCGCTGCAGGATCACATCGAAAAAACCATGGTCAGCATCACTGCCTAAGGCAAAGGATTTTCAAGAAATATTTTATTGTTAAATATGATACAAATATAGAGAGTCACATCTATAAATTGCTAGAAGGGGTTGTTATAAAGCCAACACCACTGTAACACCCACTTGAGTCAGGAGTCACGACAGGTGCTTCCCATATGGTGAAGCAATTTTATAATAATTTACTTTTATTTTTCTTTATTCTTTTTTTCACCTAACTGTGCTTTCCTAAGCAATATAGATTAGGTTTACCTGTTTCATAAGAAATATTTAAGTCTTTTTTAATATCCAGGTTTCCCCTCAATCCCCTTTTTCTTTTTCTTGCAATTTCTTTGTTAAAGAAACAGGATTTTTTTGTTTTATAGTGTTTCCCATAGCTTGGATTTTGCAGAATTGTATCTACATGGTGTAGTCTACAGATTCCTCTCTACTCTGTATTTCCTGTAAATTGGTAGTTGGATTTAGAATTTTATTTAAAAGCATACTATTTTACTGAGAATTATCTAAAAATTTTATCTCATTGTCTGAGCATATTACTGAAGGATTAGTTTAACTATAAATTCTGTTTGTAGTCAGGAATTGTTCAAAGTTAAGGATGTTAGACCTGTCGTGTAGACCCCCTTTGGTTCCAATAATCTAGAACAACTCCAGAGGAAAGTTAATGAAATTTAGTTGACAAGAGACATGAATAACAGATTTAGAGTGCAGTAGGGTTTGTAGTAGCACAGTAGACTGTATACTATGTAGTCATGAATAGAATGAAAAGATAAACCAATGAAAAATTAGAAGGTGTTAGACTGCCAATATCTATCATGAATGGAACTTTTATTGCCAAAGTTCCATTTTGTACACAGACATCGGATAACATTCTCCCTTTGTATAAATGTAGCTGAATAGGAAAGAATGAAGATCTCGGAAATTAACTGAATACTTAGGTAAATTACATGAGTGAATATATGCATGTGTAGACATAGAATAATAATTATAGCTGCCTTTTTTTGTTTCAATGATTTTGTTTCTTTATTTTTTAAATTTACTCTTTATTTAAACATATTGGTTGTACATATTTATGAGATACAGAGTTATATTTCAATACATGTATACAATGTGTGAAGATCTAATGAAGGTATTTAGCATATTCATCACTGTAAACTTAATCATTTCTTTATGGTATTTGGATCTCCTCTCTTCTAGTTATCCGATAACTTGCAGTAAATCATTGTTAATTATAGATTGCTGAGTTTATTGGATACCAACAGAACTTATTTTTTCTATCTAGATGTAATTTTGTGTCCATTAACCATCCTCTCAGTTTCCCCTCTCTTCCTCTCCTTTCCCACATCTAGTAACCCCAGTTCTTCTATCTTCTTTTAATAGTTCCACTTATTACTATTATTATACTTTATTTGATTTTGGTTTTTGTTCTGGTTCCACATATAACTGAGGACATGCAGTATTCCTCTTTCTGTGCCTGGCTTATTCAGCTTAACATAATTTTCTTCAAGTTTGTCCATGCTGCTGTGAATGGCAGAATTTCATTCTTTTTTATGGCTGAGTAGTATTCCATGTGTGTGTGTGTGTATGTATGTATGTGTATGTATATATATATATACACACATACCACATTTTCTTTATGCAATCATCCTACAATGGACACTTAGGTTGGTTCCATATTTTAGCTATTATAAATACAGCTGCAATGAACATGAGATTGCAGGTATCGCTTCAACATGATTTCCATTCCTTTGGGTATATTACCCAGTAGGGGGATTGCTGGGACACTTCGTAGTTCTATCTGTAGTTTGAGAAACCTCCATATGTTTTTCCATAATTGCTGTGCTAATTTACAGTCCCACCAGCAATGTATAAGGGTTCCCCCTTTTCCACATCCTTGCCAGCATTTGTTATTTTCTGTCTTTTTTGATAATAGCCAGTCTAACAGGGTGAGATGATATCTCAATGTGGTTTTGATTTATTGAAGCTTTACTTTGTGCCAAGAACTGTTCTTAGCCAGTTTACATAGATATCTCTTTTAATCTTCACACCAGCTCAATAAGATTCGTGTTATTATGCTGCCCGTTTTACAAATGAAGTAGTTGTGTTTCCATGATTTTTTTCTCTTCTCTTTCACTGCAGGGACTTTTTTCACCCAACTTTGTCCAACTATTTGAATTTAAAGCTTTAAAAGTTAAATATTAAATTTTAAACTTAAACTTTTTTTAGAGTGTTGGTGTCTGCCTTCTTTCAATGTGAATATTCATATGTTTCCAGCTCCTATATGAATTAAGTAGGCTTCTCCCTACAACCCTAGGATCCTAAAAACCACTTCCACGGATGGACCTGAGTTTAAACTAAAGCACTGAAAAAAAAAGCCTTTAGCATAGCTTCTTTGGAATTTGTACACTTCTTGTAATTTAATAAATAGTTTTAAATAGTGAAAATCTTTAAGTTAGTGGTTTACAAAAAGTATGTCCTGTTGGACTGCAAAAGTGCCTCTTGGTTAAAGCAAGAATTTACCAATTTGATTTTGAAAGTATCAGTTTATAATACACAATGATTAGTATTGGGGGGACGCGGAAATGAAAAATTGTATCTGGAATTATTAAAGGTCCTCAAGTTTGGGAGTTGTTAATCCCATTTGATTAAAGGAATTGCCAACTTTTATATCCAAGTCCTTTTTTTTTTTTTCAAATTTCTTCTTAAGTGGAAACCTAGGAAAAATATAATTACTATTTTAATAGAAAGGAATAAAATATTCCTTGGGTTAAAATATTTTAACATCTTGTTAGGAAAAGAGAAAATAAAAACTTGTGTCTCATTAAGCCAAATAAAATAGATTCAAAGTCTGGATGTTTTACATGTGCTTTAAAGTATACCCCACATCCTATTGAAGCTATGGGCAGATAAAAATAAGTACTGATTACTGCTAAATATTATTAGATATGCCAAGGTGAACAGAAAACAGAATTTGGGGGTGTTAATTAAATAATTTTAACTCCTTCAAATTATCAATTAATATTATAATATCAATTAATATTAATCCTCAATTCTTATTTGCAGAATGCACACCTTCTGGCAGGAGAAGGGTTTGGTATTCACACCTGCCAACAGTCTGCCAGATAACACCTTTGCTATTAACAGATGTTTCTGTTTTTATAGCAAGGAAGGCCACATAGGCTCTTATTGTCTTATAGGAAAGTGCAGTCAAA